TCCTTATAGGACGACTGGAACAATGTCAAAAGCCTTCGCCCAGAAACGCCACTAACGGACACCCAACTGCTACGCTTACTCACTCGACTTTCAAAGAAGTAGAAAAACTTATTTATGGTCGGTGTAATGCCTAGTCCTATACATAAAATCTCAAACCCTCGGACAAACGCCCAATTGTTTGGGTGAAGTTGTGTAGGGGCTACGTTTAGTGCTTGAAGCACCCCTTTCTCACAGTCGGTGAAAGGCCACCTCACCCTGAGCTTCGAAATTAAAGTAGTGTAACAAAAGGTGAACCTTTCAGTAGAAACCCCTTCGACGCACACGATTTCCCTATCAACACATGGCTCACAGATAATTACGTTTTCCCCTCCCTCACAAACCACATGCTCACTACAGAAACTATCCATGATGACCCATGAATTTATAGAAGACTCACAACGTAAAACATCGTCTTTCACCCACTTATATTGTTCCCCATAGTTTATGGAAGAAATTAACAATGTACAAATAACTTAAGCAACAACTCAAGGTGTTTCTATGAAAGAAAAAGATCCAAATGTTTTAGATAGGCGCATACCTAAAAATACCCACAAACTCTTCCTCACTCAAACAAATGCCACCGGAACATCGTAAACCACTGTGGACCACCGGAGAACCTCGACGAAGTTCAATGAAACACTAAGTCTTAAAATGAACAGAGCATAAACAAAGGGCAAATAATGAAAGGTTCATTTATATATATAGGCACGGGGAGGAACGAAAAGGCGTATGCAAGAACCCAACTTGCAACGCTGTGTTTCGCACAAGGAGCCGCATTTAATTGTCACGCCGCGCGCGTGAAACGTTATAGGCCCCAACATTGAAACTCTCCATACGTTTCAAGACACGTGGCAAGCCCGCCATCAATTCTCTAAGATGGCTGCTCTACAATAAATGCATGTTTCCCCATAGTGCCACATGAAAAGACATAGCTCGGATGAGCATACAACCACACGTCCCATCATCAAAAGTGGGAGGCGCCAAGCCATGTCTCTGAGCACCCGGAAGAAGAGTTAACTGGACACTGGGAGGGCGATCACCCTCTCGGTCATAGTCCGACCCCAACACCGGGTAAGCCCTTTCGCCTCAAAGGCTTAGGACTGGGAGGCAAGTGTACCGTCTCGGTCGTATTTCGACCATGACTCGTGAACACGCTCTCTCGGTCGTAGTCCGATCCCTACTCAGGGTAAGCCCTTTCGCCTCAAAGGCTCAGGGCTGGGAGGCAAGTGTACCGTCTTGGTCGTATTTTGACCACGACTCGCGAAAACACTCTCTCAGTCGTAGTCCGATCCCTACTCAAGGTAAGCCCTTTCTCCTTAAAGGCTCAAGGCTGGGAGGCAAGTGTACCGTCTCGGGGTTAACCCAACCTCGACTCACGAATGCACCCTCTCAGTCCTCTCGGTCGGAGTCCGACCAAGGCTCACGAACACACCATCTCGGTCTCAGTTCTGGATATGAGCCAACCTGACCTGGTAGGGGGAACCCAACATTAGCTGATTTGGCTCCTTGGCAGGGTGAATTCGGTCAGATTCTGACCTCTCTACCTGGTATGGAGAACTCGGTCAATATCTGACCTGGTTACCTTATACGGGGGAGCTCGTTCCGTACCCGACCTAGGCTTCCCCATTGGAACGTCATCTTGGCCGGACTCCGATCCTAACCTCCTCATATAGGATAGAAATCAAGATTAAAAATAAAATCGCACCTTTGATCATCAAATATCCCTCAAATATTAACGGTTGCGAAATCCCTACATTCACGGGGCCTAGGAAGCCCAATGATAGGAAAGTATAAAACCCAAAACCCTAGCGCCAAGGAGACAGATTACACTTTTGAATGCCCTAGCTCTAAGGCTTAACCTAGGAAGAAACCCTAGTCCATCTTTTGGCCGAAACACAATCCATCAGTAAGACAAATCCTTGTATAAGACGAAAGTTGCATTCCAATGATTGTACTATTGAATAAGATGAACCCTTAGTCATAAAAAGATATATGCATTAAATTGTTATCATTTACGATCTCTAAATAAGAAATTGACTATGTCTAAATGTTTCCTTAATAGATTGAATTTAAAAACACTTCCTTGATACCAATGTTCTACAAAAAGGAAATAAAGATATGCTTTGTGTCAAAATAGAATAAGCAGACCTCTACAAACATGGAAAGTTGCAGCTAAAAGTTATTTCATGATTGCAACATCCTAACACATGCATGGTTCTACCCACTTGGTACCCAAAAGGTGATAAGTAGCTTCTTTGATCAGATAAGAAGTGGTAATTTGGTAAAAGCATTTAATAAAATTCATGAGAGAGACACTCAAGCATTTGTAATGGACATCTTTGTTAAGTCAGACAAAAATGAAAACAATTCCCAACAAAGTTTTGAGTGAGACAAATATAATACGTAGTGTTATTTCTAACAAGTGTGTTAGTGTTTCCGATATAAGTACAGGCAAGTTGATATGCATCCATACCAGGACCAAGAGATATGAGCCAAGCACTAGATAAAGGCTGAGCAAACGAAAGGAACACATCAGACAAAGACAGTCACAAACACAGACACAAGAAATAAAGAAAAAAGACATGAGCAACCAAGATGATCTGGTTTTTTAAAAATGATGGATTGTTAGAACGACTTATTCTCA